GAAAAACGTCATATCTGCCCTGTTAGATTCTATTGTCATTCAGACATCAATAAGAGGAGGAAGAGCCAGGACAGAGGCAGGGGGCTGTCTGGATTACAGAGAAACCTGCAGAGTTCATGGGCACGTCAGGCTGGAAAGATCACAATGAGAAGGCAGGTTGACAAGGGGCCAGTGTTCTTCAGATCCCTGGCACAAGCTGATGTTCCATGGAGGAGCAGCTAGGAAAAATAATGCCGGACCTTGCACATTGGTAAATACTCCAGGTGCATCAGCTTCCTGGTTTCCTATAACACATTACCACAAGCTACTGTTGAAGGTCAGTAATGGGTCTTAGCGGGCTAAAGTCAAGACAGCAGCATCATGGCTTAGCAGCAGGTTAAGCTGCTGCCTGCAATCCCAGCATGCCACGTAGAGCATCAGTTCAGGTCTAGCTGTTCTGTTTCCAATCCAGCTCCCTGGTAATGCATCTAGAAAGGCCTCAGAAGATGGTCCAAGATGCACCTCTGACACCCAATATGGAAGACCCAGTTGGAGTTCCGTTCCTGGCTGTGGCCTGGCTCAGCCCCAACCAGCAGATGGAAGATCTCTTTCTCTGTGTCTCTCCCCTCCCTTGCCATTCAAATAAGTAAAATAAATCTTAAGAAAGAAAGAAAGAAAGAAAGAAATACGACAGCAGGGCTATGTTGCTTTCTAGAAGCCCTTTGGAAGAAGCTTTTCCAGCTTCAGAGCTGCCCACAGTTCTTGGCATGCCTGCACCTTCTACGGGGAAGCCAGCAAGTGCAGTGTCTTTCCCACATCGCATCACTGAGACACTAACGGGCCTGCTGCCCTCCTCCTCCTTTGAAAGCTCCTTGTGATTCTGTTGGCCCACAGGCTAATTAAGCAATGCATTTCTAAACAAACCATGAGTTGACTAAGAAATCACAAGGAAAACTGGAATATATTTTGAACTGAATAACCAAGAGGTTATACAACACATCAGAAAAAAAATGCTGGGCAGGTGTGGTGGGCAGCAATTAAGACGCTGCTCAGGATGCCCGCACCCCATATCTAAGTGCCTCAGTTCCTCCGCTTCTGAGCTCAGCATTCCTGCTACTGTGTACCCTGGGAGGCAGGCAATGATGGCTCAAGCACATGGTTCCCAACCACCCATGTGAGGGGCTGGGACGGAGCTTTGTGCTCCTGGCTTCGGCCTGGAGCCCTGGCTGTCGTGGGCATTTGGGGGGTGAACCAACAAATGAAAGCTCTCTTTCTCTGTCACTCTGCCTTTCAAATAAATAAAAAAGAAATGGATAAAGAAAGAAATCCTTTAAATTACCAATATTATAAGATTACAGTAAGAATCATTCACGTGGGGCTGGCATTTTAGTGTAGTAGGTTCGGCCTCCACCTGTGGCACCAGTGTCCCATGTAGGCACCAGTTGAAGTCCTGGCTGCTCCTCTTCTGATCCATCTCCTTGCTGGTGGCCTGGAAAAGCAGTGGAGGATGGCCCAAGTGCTTAAGTCCCTGCACGCACATGGGAGACCTGGAAGAAATTCCTGGCTTCTGGCTTCAGATCAGCTCAGGTCCAGCCATTGCAGCCATCTGGGGGAGTAAACCAATGGATGGAAGACCTCTCTCTCTGTTTGTAATTCTGCCTCTCAAATAAACAAATCTTTAATTTAAAAAAGAACCATTCACACATTAAAAATGTCAGAACGTAATCTCATGAATGATTTTACATCAACAAGAGCTATTAGTACTGAAACTTAAAGAATCACAAAATCTGAATATTTCTCGAGCTATTAAAAGAAACAATCTGTTATTGAAAACCTTTCCACATATAAAATTCTAGATACCTGCAGTGTCTCCCAGGGAATAAGGTACGAGGCAGTATTTCTCAATTCATTTTACGAGCTGGCATAACCTTGAACCCAAACTTACAGAGAAATTCAAATGAAGGAAAATTGCTAAATTATTTCTTTCATGAAAATACAAGGGTACTTCAAAAGGTTCATGAAAAAGATAATTAACAAATTAACAGTTACATTTACTTTGATGCAAAAAATGCATGCAAGTAGATGCAAAATAAAGTCCCAAACAAAATATTATAAATTGAAGTTCAGCAATATATAAAAAGCATTATATCTAAGGATTTATGTCAGAAATGTAATAGTAGCTTAACATTTAAAAAATCAATTAGAGGGCCGGCACCATGGCTCATTTGGCTAGTCCTCTGCCTGCGGCGCCTGCATCCCATATGGGCGCTGAGTTCTAGTCCCAGTTGCTCTTCTTCCAGTCTCGTTCTCTGCTGTGGTCCAGGAGGGCAGTGGAGGATGGCCCAAGTGCTTGGGCCCTGCACCCGCATGGGAGACCAGGAGGAAGCACCTGGCTCCTGGCTTCAGATCAGCACAGCGCCAGCTGTAGCGGCCATTTGGGGAGTGAACCAATGGAAGGAAGACCTTTCTCTCTCTCTCTCACTGTCTATAACTCTATTTGTCAAATAAATTTTTAAAAAATCAATTAGAGTAGTTCCCATAAAAAGATACAGGACTCATCCAGTTATCCCAATAGATGCAGAAAACAGAACTGGATACAATTCAACACCAATTCATGGTTTTTAAAAAGTATAGACAACTAGCTGCCATTTGGGGAGTGAACCAATGGAAGGAGGACCTTTCTCTCTGTCTCTCTCTCTCTCACTGTCTAACTCTGCCTGTCAAAAAAAAAAAAAAAAAAAAGTATAGGTGTGGGGAGCAACCCGGACTGGACTGAGTTACTGGAATTAAGACTTATTCTATGCATCTGCTCTCCCACAATATGGCGCTGGGAGAGAAGAAAACAGCTTCTACGCAGCTGCCTCTTGCCAACTTGAGTGCTGACCTCCAGGAGCTGATCCTGCTCCTGATTGGAGGAGAGTACTCGGTGTGTGGGCAGCCGAGTTGGGATTGGCAGAGGAGGACTATAAAGGAGGAGAGAGACAACATGCACCAGGAACATCTAAGGGGAACATCTATCTGAGGGAACACCTGTGCAGCCCCCGAGAGAGCCGGCTGGCGGTGTGCCGCTCCCCCGCGGAAGTGGGGAATGTGGCAGGGGGAACCGCCCTTCCACGGAGGTGGAAGGGTCAGTAGCCAACCCGGGAAGAACCAGCAGCAAACCCGGGGAGGGCCGAGCAGACGAAAGAACAGCGCAGGGTCCTGTGTCATTCCTCCACGAAGACGGGGAGCGACATATAGGCAACCAAGGAAAGAACTTCCTTAATATGATTAGTTGTAACTGAAACAAAAGGCCAGCAAATATTTTGAGCAATGACAACTTATAGAAAACTTCCCTTTTCTGTACCATTATTTATATCCAGTATTGTACTAATTGGCCCTCTCTAACAAAGCTGAACAATGAAGGAGGAGAGCCAGAAGGATGTCCTTCACCATGTCAAAGTTTCCATTCCAAAAATCCCCACTCCACTCCCAATCATCTGCAGGTAGCAGAAGGAAGTGGATGTGTCTATCCGTAGCTATGGCATGGAAAACTGATAGTTGGGAATTTGTAACCTGATGATTGCATTCTCCTCCCTTTCCGTGTTTTGGCTGACAAGGACCAACTGCTGGTGGCATAGACGACCTGCGAGTAGTGAACGTTTGCATGGGGACCTCAGAGCCTACTGAAAGATGACCTGGAAAGGCAGATCTCACACCCAGCTGTGGAGAGCGCATGCGGCCTCCACCTGCAGACTGCTAAGCACCATTATCAAGAGGCCGCCACCAGGACCATCCTCATAACAGACCTGAAAATCTGCTTGGTTGTCAGGCCGGCGCCACGGCTCACTAGGCTAATCCTCCGCCTAGCGGCGCCGGCACACCGGGTTCTAGTCCCGCTAGGGGCGCCGGATTCTGTCCCGGTTGCCCCTCTTCCAGGCCAGCCCTCTGCTGTGGCCAGGGAGTGCAGTGGAGGATGGCAAAAGTGCTTGGGCCCTGCACCCCATGGGAGACCAGGAAAAGCACCTGGCTCCTGCCATCGGATCAGCGCGGTGCGCCGGCCGCGGCGGCCATTGGAGGGTGAACCAACGGCAAAAGGAACACCTTTCTCTCTGTCTCTCTCTCTCACTGTCCACTCTGCCTGTCAAAAAAAAAAATCTGCTTGGTTGTCAATGGACTGCACCCATTATTTCTCCTGCCTCCACCTGCAGCCACCCTTTCCCTTTAAAACCCTTTTTTCTGACTCACTGGGCAGAAAGGGCACATTTTGGATCCAGAGATCACGCTTTCCCCAAGACTGCTGCTTCTTGAAATCGGCTCTTCTCTCTGACACACTCTGCTCCGTGTCTAGCAGCGAGCAGCAAGGGCCTGATCATTTTGTCCAGTAACACTAGCAGCTCTACCCATCAGGAGGAAAGAAGACCGTGGTGTGCGGCATACACCACGTGGACTGTGCAACACCAAGATGGGCGGAAGGGCGGGCACACAGCAATGCACGCGAATTTCACGCGAAAGAAGCCACGGCACGAAACTACACACTGAATCCCACTGAGGAGGGCAGGAGCATATGAACGTTCAATCTGGGTTCTTGCCTCAGCAGAGACTAGTAAGGTGGGCAAATAGGAACAGGGTTTATTTAACAGTCGGAAGAAACACACGGTCACTCGCGCGCCAGTGTGGGCCTCCCACACCCATCGTGAGCCGCCAGAGGTTTGCCGTGAAAGAGAATGAGAACCATACCTTTCTGAGCATTGTTCCTGGCAGACCCAAACCTCTCCCAGCAGTGGGGGCGGGGGAGGGGCGCGGGGCGAGGTTGGGGCGTGGCGCAGGTCGCTTGCGGGGAGCTTTGGGGAGAAGGAATTGAAAACCCGTAGCTGGGGTTTGAGCGTTGTCTGGGCGCGCGGGTTTCTCCCTATGGACAGCCCCCCATTAGTCCGGAGTGAGACTGACTAGAGAAAGGTCCGGAGGTTGCAAGCCTGGGCCCCGGGAGCAGGGCTCGCCCTGCAGCAGAGGTCCATCCGGCAGCACCTGCGGCCTGCGGAAGGTGGGGGCGTGGCGATCGCCACCCAGGAGGAGGCGGACCCAGGCCATCCCCGGGGTAAAGCGGAGGGCCGAGCCGCGGGAGCCGCGTGGGTGACGCGCGCCCGCAGCGGAGATGAGGCTCCCGGCCTGCGTCCTACTGTGCGTGGGGGCCTTGGGTGAGTGCGCGCCGCCGGCGGCCGGGCGCGGCAGGCCTCTGAGGTGCTTCAGCAAATGGAAGGGGGCCTGTGGCCGGCCAAGCAGCTCCGCCTGTGGGCCGATATGTTCCAGGGGAGGCAGCCTAATGTCTGGCTGAGCCAAGGGCACCACGGGGGCAACTGACATTTTGGGCCAGGACAGGGTTTCACAAACCAACCAGTCCATCGGGGCCTGATGCCCCGGACTGGGCCGTCTTTTCTTTAAATGGCTGGCGAGAAAATCGAGGGGACAGTATTTTGTGCAGGAAAATGGTAGGAAAAGCAGTTTTCAGCGTCCGTGGGTAACATTTTACTGGAACATGGTCTGCCCGTTGGGTTCGGGATTGTCTGTGCTGGCTGCTCTGAGGCCTCAGGTGTGGGGAGCAACTCGGACTAGACTGTTACTGGAATTAAGACTTATTCTATGCATCTGCTCTCCCACAATATGGCGCTGGGAGAGGAGGAAACAGCTTCTACTCAGCTGCCTCCAGTTCAACCAATAAACTGTAGGACCTGCTCCTGATTGGAGGAGAGCAGCGTACTCGGCGTGTGGGTAGCAGAGTTGGGATTGGTGGAAGAGGACTATAAAGGAGGAGAGAGACAACATGCACCAGGAACATCTGAGGGAACACCTGTGCAGCCCCCGAGAGAGCCGGCTGGCGGTGTGCCGCTCCCCCGCGGAAGTGGGGAAAGTGGCAGGGGGAACCGCCCTTCCACGGAGGTGGAAGGGTCAGTAGCCAACCCGGGAAGAACCAGCAGCAAACCCGGGGAGGGCCGAGCAGACAAAAGAACAGCGCAGGGTCCTGTGTCGTTCCTCCAGGAAGACGGGGAGCGACATAATGGTGCCGTGACTCGGATATGAAGCCTAGGCAGGGTCTTGTGTCGTTCCTCCATGAAGAGGGGGAGTGACACTCAGGAATAGAGCTGAGGAGTTGTGGCCGCCGGTATGGCCCACAAAGCTGCAATGTGCACTAGCAAAAGTATGCCCCCTGCCCAGAGCCTGTGGGTCCTGTTTGCAGGTCAGAGCAGATAAAGGTCGGACCTCAGGGTCACTAATGAGCTGAGGTGGGGGAGAGGGGAGGAGGGGGGAGCAACAGACATGCCTGACTTCTAACCAGATGCATTTTTCTAGCCCTGAACTGGACAGGCACCTCCCACTTCAACCATGCAACAGGGGAGCCCTGGGATGCAGGGGCAAACAGTCACCCTAGAATAGGTCCCACCTGCCTCCCATTGCCTCCGTGCTCTCCCTTGAACTCCTTGAGCTGGATTCCTTCATTAGGAATTGCCTCGTCACAGCAAACACGCAGCTGTTGTGCAAATGAGCTAATGTGCCTAGTGGCAGACAGAGCTCTGGGCACAGAGCTGACCCTGCTAAGATCTTGCAGTAAGCCCTCGGGGCCCCCCCTGTGCTGAGAAGGTGGGCTTTCCAGGGCTTTTGGTTTGATGTGTGCGTGTGTGTGTGTGTGTGTGTGTGCGCTGTCAACCAACTCCTGCATGTGAAAAGCCCTCCCTGGCCCAACAGCTGTTGACAGTCTCAGGCTGTCAGGTCTCACTGGGGTCCATGGTGTCTGGGGCAGGCTGTCCTCCATGGGGACAGGAGATAACCATGGAAGGGCAGCTCCAAGGAAGGGCAGGGACTGCTGTGGCTGCCTCTCCCTGGCCCAGCACTGCCACATGGGGCCAGGCAGGGCTCTCCTGGGCCTGGGAAGTCTGGGAAGGAAGAGCATTGTTTTGGTCCAGCCATAGTCCCAAGGAAACCCCAAGTGCAGCCCTCTGGTCTCTGCCCCAAATTCTTGCTGAGTGGAGCTTGTGTTGTTTGTTCTTCCTCTGTCTCCTCTCCTGGCCATGTCAGGGGCTGAGCAAAAGTTCATTTGCCCAATTGGCTAGATATTAACAAACCAGAGACCAGAGCTGCCCTTTTTGGCCACCATTCTCCCACATTGACTGCTTCACGGCCCTGGACTTGATGTTCCATTCTGGCCAGAACTCTCCTGGTGGCAAATGATGAAATCACAGCCAAAGATAGTAACTCCAGATGAAAAGGCCAAGAGGAGATTCCAGTGATAGGTAGGTAGGCCCTGCAAGAGCCAGGAACCAAGGGCGCAGACAACCTGTCCTCCACCTTGGTCTGCATCTGAAGCCTCTTACTCCCCTGGACCTTAGAACTTCCTTTACTTGCTATGCATGTTGCCACTGGCAGCTTTCTCCCTCCGGGGTCAATGGGTTCCCATTACCCCCTCGTGAACCTGTCACGTGGCCAGAGTACAAGGTCATGATTGGTCCAGGCAACTTGGCTCCATCTTCTCTGAGTTTGTTGACACATACTCTTTCATTTTAAAATCATTTCTATTGAAGTATAATTTACATACAGAGGGACTTCAAAAAGTTCATGAAAAATGTACATTATTCTTTGGCTGATACTCTTGGGGAGGGGTGTGTCTCTGCCTATACCATCCTGGCAATAGGTGCTCATTGCTTCTTAAGGCAGCACATTCCACCAAGTTTGTACACTTTTATTGCACCAAAATAAACTTACATTTTAATTTCACTTTCCATGAATGTTTTGAGTCACGCTCATATAAAATGCACCCCTTTTAAGTTTACTGGAATACAGTTCAATGGATTTCTGCAAATAAAACTATCCACTTGATACACAGCAGACTCATAGAATGACAAATGCCCTAAACAGCACTCTGGCCTCAGAATCAGCCCTTAAGGCATTTGGATCTGGCTATAAAGCCCATTAGAGTTTCTCAGGCATGGAAAGCCAAGACACTGAGGCAAAAAATGACCTAAATGAAAGACCTCTGTGAGTGAGATCCCAGTGGAAAGAACAGGCCATAAAACAAGGAAGTACCTTTCGCTGAAGGGAGGAGAGAACTTCCACTTTGATTATGGCCTTGTTAAATAAGGTTGCAGTTTATGAACTCAAGAGGCTTCCATAGCCTTGGTGGCTCATAACAAGAGCCTCGGGTGATTACTGACGCCATAAACAAGGGTGTCAATTGTTAAATCAACAACAGGAGTCACTGTGCACTTACTCCCCATGTAGGATCTCTGTCCTTAATGTATTGTACTATGCAAGTTAATGGTAAAACCAGTCTTCAAACAGTACTTTATACTTTGTGTGTCTGTGTGGGTGCAATCTGTTGAAACCTTTATTCAGTATATACTAAGTTGATCTTCTGTATATAATGATAATTAAAAATGAATCTTGATGAAGAATGAGATGGGAGAGGGAGTAGGAGATGAGATGGTTTGTGGATAGAAGGGTGGTTATAGGGGAAGAACCACTATAATCCCAAAGTTGTACTTTTGAAATTTATATTTATTAAATAAAAGTTTTCTAAATAAATAAAGAAGAACAACAACAAAAAACTATCCACTTAACTACCACCAACAAAACAAAGAACACTTTTGATGCTGGCATTGTGGTACAGCAGCTTAAGCTGTCACTTAACCACACCAGCAGCCCATATCAGAGTGCCAGGTTTGAGTTCCAGCTACTCTTCTTTTGATCCAGCTCCCTGCTGTTGCGTCTGGGAAGATAGTGGATAACAGCTGATACTCTTAAGTTCCTGCCACCCATATGGGAGACCTCAATGGAATTCCAAGCTCCTGACCTTGTCCTGGACCAGCACCGACTGTTGCCACCATTTGGGAAGTGAACAAGTGGATGGAAGATCTCTCCCTTCCTCTCCCCTCTGTAACTCTCCCTTTCATTTTTTTTTAAAGATTTATTTATTTATTTGAAACTCAGAGTTACACACAGAGAGAAGGAGAGGCAGGGAAAGAGAGAGGTCTTCCCTCTACTGGTTCACTCCCCAGTTGGCCACAATGTCAGAGCTCCACAGATCCGAAGCCAGGAGCCAGGTGCTTCTTCCAAGTCTCTCACATGGGTGCAGGGGCCCAAGCACTTGGGCCATCTTCTACTGCTTTCCCAGGCCATAGCAGAGAGCTGGATTGGAAAAGGGGCAGCCGGGACTAGAACCAATGCCCATATGGGATGCCAACACTGCAGGTGGCAGCTTTACCTGCTCTGCCACAGCCCTGGCCCCAACTCTGCATTTCAAACAAATACTCTTTAAAAAGAATACTTCTGTCACCTCCAAATTGCCCACTATCTCTTCCCAGTCATTCCCACTTTCTACTAAGAAAGATGCATTTTGCCTTTTCTAGGATTTCTTAAATGGAATCATACAGTACATAGTTTTCCGTTTTTATTGCTTGGCTATTTTTTTTCTCAGCATACCTGCTGTCCCCAGAGAATATTTGGGTAAATGTGAAGGATTATTGAGTCACCGTGGGAAATGCATGTTGAACTTGTAAAGAAAATGCCAAATATTTTTGAGTACTTGTGCCCTTTTCCATCCCTATCACAATGTAAAAGAATTTCAGCTGCTCCCTATCATGCCAGCATGAGGTGGTACTGGTCTTTTCACTGGCAGCCACTCCCATAGGCTCATCATGGAATCTTTCTGAGGCTATCATATGTATCTCTATGGTGACTAATGATGGAAACATTCTTATGAAGTTTATGTGCAAATCTTTCAAATGTAAGCATGATGGCGACTGGAGATACAGATGTTCACAGAGGGCATTGCCTTGGCATCCGTGCAAGGGCGTGCCCCACACAGCTCTGTCCCCCCCACTGGCTCTTCTTTCCCTGTGTGGATGAAGTTAAGGGCTCTTTCAGACTGGCATGAGGAGCTCGATTTGTCTCTTCCCATCTTTGGCCTGCGGCCATCTAAAACAACATGGTGTCTCCTGTCCCACATCTTTTGATATTTCCTGTTTCAGACAGGTTTCAGACAGTAGTACAGGTTTTGGACTCAGACAGATCCAGGTAGTTGAAATATTAGTTTCATCTCAAGTTATTTAATGTCCCTAATGGGGTTTTTTAAAGTCTCATCTCTAAAACAGGGACAAGTCTTCAATAGGTCACTGTGAAAATTACAGGGCAGTAAGTGCTTGGCACACTGGCTGATAGGGGCTTGTTCAAAACTCAGGAGGGGGGAGGTGTTTGGGCCTCTGTGTCCCATATCAGAGGGTCTGCGACCAAGTCTTGGCTCTGCTCCTGTTTCCAGCTTCCTGCTAATGCAGACCCAGGGAGGCAGCAGTGATGGCTCAATTAGTTGGGTCCCTGCCACCCATCACCGTGATCTGAATGGAGTTTTCAGCTCCTGACTTCAGCCTGGTTCATTCCCAGCTCTGTAGTCATTTGGGGATGGAAGATTCTCTTTCTGTCTCTCTCTATATATATCTCCCTCTCTCTCCCCTCTACTTTTCAAATAAAGTAAATAAATGTAACTTTTAAAGTGATAGCTGTTATTACTGTAACTTTTGTCTTCTCTATCTCACTTAAAATTGTATCCAAATACTAAAGACTTAGAAATAACATTTGGAGTGCTATCTACACTAATTGCTACAGCTTGGAATGCCAGTGAAATAAGCAGGCAGCAATTTTAATGGCTGAGCAATTAGTGCCATGTAAGGTTATAGCAGTCAATGTTAAGAGAAAAGATTACATCATTAGCCCCAAAATTTCCTACCTCATTTTGTGTTTTTGAGGTGGCATTCACATAACATACATTAACCATTTTAAAGTATACAATTCATGAGGCAGGTATTGTGGCACAGTGATGAGCTAAGCAGCTGCCTGCAACGCAAGCTTCATGTGTCAGAGGGCTGATTTGGGTCCTAGCTACTCCACTTCCAATCCAGCTCCCTGCTAATGCACCTGGAAAAGCAGCAGAAGATGGCCCATGTCCTGGAGCCCCCGCCACCATGTGGGAGACCTGGAGCTCCTGGGCTCTAGGCTCCTGACTTTGGCCTGGCCCAGTGCTGGCTATTGTGGCTATTTGGAAAGTGAACCAGTAAATGGAATCTCTCTCTCTCTTTCTCTTTCTCTCTCTTTCTCTCTCTCTCTTCCCCTCCCTCCCTCTCTCCCTCACTCCCTCTGTCTGCCTTTCAAATAAGCAAAGTAATATTTATTTTAAAAAATTAGGGGCCAGTATTCCAAAGAAAATCCCTGCACCCCTAAGAAGCCGGCCCATTTTCCCTTCTCACCCCCATGGCAGCCACCAATTTACTTTCTGTCACTATAGGTTGACCTAGTCTAGATAGTCTGTACAAATGGAATCCTATAATACTTGACCTTTTGTGTCTGGTTTCTTTCACTTAACATAATATTCTTGAGACCCATTCACATTGCAGCAGGTAGCACTACTTCATTCTGTTGTACGGGTAGAATACATTTTGTTTACCCATTCATCCATTGATGCACACTTTTGGTGGAGTTTCCAACTGTTAGCTGTTATAAATAGTGCTGCTAGGAACAGCTATGTAATGTGTTTGTTAGAGTCCTTGTTTTCATTTCTTTTGGATATATACCTACTAGTGGAATTGCTGTGCCATATGCTAATTCTGTGTTTGGCTTTTTGGACAATGATGTTGGCATATTTATCCAAGGAGACAGGAAGAATCAGAGAAATGGACCCCGAGAATTCATGAAAGCCAGGCAGCCAGGCCCATTGGTATGTGCCTGCCTCAGCTGACCCTTGATCAGGTCTGTGACCTCCTCTGCCAGCAGAGAAAGGTGAGTGCTGTGAGTGTCCTACAGATCTGGGCTCTCTCCCCAGGGCTCTGTCTGGCTGACGATGAGAGAACCGTGAGATGGTGCACTGTGTCAGATCATGAGACTGCCAAGTGCTCCGCTTTCCGTGACAACATACAGAAAGTCTCTCTGGAAGATGGTCCCTTTGTCAGCTGCGTGAGACGAACCTCTTACCTGGAGTGCTTCCTGGCCATTAGGGTAAGTCGTGTGGTTTAGAGAAGAAAGAAGGAAGTCAGAGATCTAAAATACGGGACTGTGTAGAGAACAAGGCCGCTGCTCAGCTGTCACTAGCAGGAAAAGTCACAATCAACTGAGCAGCCGATACGGCAGGAGTCCGTCTCAGCAAGCACTCACTGATGAAGCGAAGCCAGCAGTGTGCCGCAAAGCATCTATAAAGTCTCAGAGAGACACAAGAGGCTCTGCTGCTGCTGCTGTGATTACATAACACCGTTTACTGAATTTCCTAGAAGTGCAAGAAGACATAAAAGGCATACAGAACAGAAAGAAACCAACAAAAGCATCCGTATTTTCAGATGAATGTATGTCTAGGAAGTATTGTGAATCAGGGGAAATGTCACTAGTTACAATGAATTATAAATGTCATTAGTTATTAATGAATAAATTAGTTTGGTAAAACATAACTATATCACAGTTAATATCATTTTCGTATACCAACAGTCATTAATTGGCAGAAATTAGCCCCAAGCTGTGATTTCATTTACATTTAAGATAATAGATGGAAATATATTTCTTTTTTTTTTTTTTTAACTTTTATTTAATGAATATACGTTTCCAAAGTACGAATAATGGATTACTATTGCTTCCCCCACATACCGTCCCTCCCACCCACAACCCTCCCCTTTCCCACTCCCTCTCCCCTTCCATTCACATCAAGATTCATTTTCGATTATCTTAATATACAGAAGATCAGCTTAGTATACATTAAGTAAGGATTTCAACAGTTTGCTCCCACACAGAAACATAAAGTGAAAAATAATAGATGATTTTTTTTAATGATGATGAAATCAGATCAGACCTATTGTCATGTTTAATCCCAGTGAGAGTCAAGTTGGGAGTTGATAGTTTCTTTTCTTTTCTTTTTTTTTTTTTTTTTTTACAGAGGATCAGTTTAGTATGCATTAAGTAAAGATTTCAACAGTTTGCACCCCCATAGAAACACAAAGTGAAATATATTATTTGAGTACTCGTTATAGCATTAAATCTCAATGCACAGCACATTAATGACAGAGATCCTACATGAGGAGTAAGTGCACAGTGACTCCTGTTGTTGACTTTACCAATTGACACTCCTGTTTATGGCATCAGTAATCTCCCTATGCTCCAGTCATGAGTTTCCAAGGCTATGGAAGCCCCTTGAGTTCTCCGACTCTTATCTTGTTTAGACAAGGTCATAGTCAAAGTGGAGGTTCTCTCCTCCCTTCAGAGAAAGGTACCTCCTTCTTTGAAGACCTGTTCTTTTCACTGAGATCTCACTCACAGAGATCTTTTGCCAGAGTGTCTTGGCAATAGATGGAAATATATTTCTGAAAACATACCACATGCAGGGCCAACAAAACTGCTGTACATGTAAAGTATGTGACAGGGGAACAATATTAATAGATGAAAGCATACAGTGTGTCCCCAGATGGCAAGACTACACACCACATACTTGCAGAGCCTCCCAAGGTCAATGAATGCATTTAGTATAATTTTCATCAAAATGTAGACTTTTTGTGAAATACACTTTTATTTTTAATTGACACATAATTATTGTTCATATTTCTGGGATATGGTGTGACATTTCTATATGACTGCATGTAGACAGTGTGTAGTGATCAGATTAGGGCAACTGGAATGTCCATCTCCTTAAATGTGTATCCTTCTGTGTTGGGAGCATTCAAAGTCCTCTCTACTAGCTATTTTGAAATGCATCATTAGTTGTGGTCAGCCATAGTTATCCTGCTGTGGAAGTTGATCCGTCTGTCCACCTGCAGCCCTGCGCTTGTTAAGCATCCATGTCCACCTCTCTCCCTCAACCTCCAGGCTCTGGAAACCACTATTCTATGACCTACTCTGTGAGGTCAATCTTTTACCTTCCACATCTAAGTGAGAATATGTGGCAAAATACAGTCCTTTAAAAGGAAATTAATAAAGTGAAGTCCTTAAGAAAAGCACACTTATGAGATCATAAAAGCATAATCAGAAAAAGCAAAGTAACAGGAGGTGGATGAATCCCACCTTAAACTATGCCATATTCAAATAACAGTGTTTCAAAGAACAGGCTGCTGGAGCAGACGAACAAGATGGGGAAGAGACCATGGCCAACGTAGTCTCAGCTTTCTGTGCGCTCACGCGTCTGTCTAATTATCTACATGATGTGATACTGGTGCAAATTATGACCGATGTTCAACATCAGGCTTCAGGGTCTTACGCTTAATAAATTTAGGTGAGGTATATGTAGATTGAGATACATGTATGAGAAGGCAAGCTTTCCAAACAAATGGCTAAGGAAAGATTCTTTGGATGAACAACTTGGTAACCATACAGGGGAAAAAAATCAAGATAATTATTTGATAAACTTCCTGCTTGGCTCCAGGATGTAACTAGATAAATCACAAAAGTACACAAATTTAGAAATGGAAAAGCCATTTTAAGCCATGACAAAAAATATTTTTAAAAAGTCCTAACCATACAAAAAACATTATAACAAAACATATTGTAAAAACCACTTAATGATGTCATTTCAATGAATAAACTGTAAATAAATTATTACAGAAAAGAAACCACAACTAATAATGAACAATGAACAAAAAACTCATCCTTTTTAATAGTCAAAGAAATGCAAATAAAACTATTCTTAAAGCAGTAGTTTATATCTAGTAATAGAATATTTCTTAAATAAAAACATTTCTTATGGGTAGGTTGCAGTGAAATTGTGTATATATATTGCTATTGGCATTATATACCATAAATTTCTATATCATTTCTGGAAAGCAATTTGGAAATATTCAGTAATGAGCATAAAGATTCACTCAAATTTTTATTTATATATTAGAATCTACATATATGCGTGTATATTTAAAAATATAGAAAGTGTGTATACATATGTATGAGGCTACATATAGAAAGAGAGAGGCACTGATTTGTTGGGATTTCAACTCATGCTGGCTAAGCAGTCTCTGTTGCTGCTTTTCTGCATTTTCTCATAATGGGACTTGAAGAGAAGGCATCAGGTATAGAAGCATGGAAACCGGGGCAAAAGCAAGAACAGCTTGGAACCAGTGGTCATAAAGCTGAAGCCCACAGAGATGAACTGAGAGTTATATCAGTTGTTTTTGTTTTTGTTTTTGTTTTTAAGATTCATTTATTTATTTATTTATTTGATAGGCAGAGTTACAGAGAAAGAGGGAGGGAGAGAAGGAGGGAGGCAGAGCAGGAGGCAGGGTGGGAGGCAGGGGGAGAAAGAGAGAGAGAGAGAGAGAGAGAGAGAGAGAGAGAGAGAGAGAGAGAGAGAGAGAAAGAAAGAAAGAAAGAAAGAAAGAAAGAAAGAAAGAAAGAAAGAAAGAAAGAAAGAAAGAAAGAAATCTTCCATCTATTGATTCACTCTCCCAAGTGGCTACAACAGCCAGAGCTGGGATGATCCAAAGCCAGGAGCCAGGAGCTTCTTCTAGGTCTCCCACATGAGTGCAGGGGCTCAAGCACTTGGGCCATCTTCCGCTGCTTTCCCAAGTGAATTAGCAAGGAGCTGGATCAGAAGTGGAGCAGCCAGGTCTCGAACCAGAGCCCCTATGGGATGCCAGCATCACAGGCAGTGGTCTTACCCAGTATGCCACAACCCCAGCCCCTGTGTCAATTGTTGTTGCTTCTGATCTTGATGGCATTCCCAGGGACCAGTGAGTGGCCTTCTTGGTTTTTCAATCTTTATACCAAAGCCCTCCTTTTCTTAAGTTACTTCAAGTTGGTTTCCGACCTGCACGTAATAGAGTCCTAACTCTATACACACGCACATAGATACAACTATATGTATGCAAAGGCAAAAATCTCATGGGAAAATTGAATGGAAAAATAAGTATTTTGAGGCAGAAAACTTTTTGAAATCCATGCACAGTTGCTTCATAGTATGCATTTTCCATGAACTTTTTGAAGACTCCATATATATGTACAGGTATATACAAATATACATATGAATGAAATTCCTAAATTAGAAAGTGAATGGGAAAAAGAGAGGCAATATATAGAAACACAATACTAAATTCAGAAAAACTCAAGATACTTGAAGTGTCATGAAATGAATTGAAAGAAACGATATCCACTCTGGGTGGGGAGATGGGCCACCCTCAGTGCTGAGGGGAGGCTGTGAAGATCCTAGTCCTTGCAGAAGGCAAGGAACCCTTGACTGACAGCTTCCTGGAGAGGGATTCAGATGTGAGAGCACAAGGCATGGCTTCCTGTAGCTGGAAACACTCTGCAGTTTATTCACTCGCTCAACATTTGCCGGGGCTGTGTGCTGCGGTTCAGCAGGAAGTTAACACATAAACGAAACATGTCCTCACCTTCATGGAGTTTACATTCCATGGGGAGGGCGAACAGTAACCTTGTTCAGATGTAGGATACAGGCTAAGGAGAAAGACAAAGTACCGTCCAGCACCCAGGAGATTTTAAGAGGCTGACCAGGGAGAGGCTCGCTAAGCAGATGTCATTTGAGTGCAGGGGCAATGGAGGTGGAGGAGGTAGGAGCCAGGCAGTGTCTGTCTGTCTGTCTCTCTCTCTTTCCCTCTCACTGAGGGATTGGGGGTCATCTTCAGTACGGACAGTCTTCATTCATGGTCTCTTCTCTTCCAGGCAAATGAAGCTGATGCCGTGTCGGTTGATGGAGATTCGATTGTCAGTGCAGGCCAGGAGCCCTACTTGCTGAAACCCATTGTGATAGAATACTATATGTCAAAAGATGGCGGTGAGTTCTCCCTGGGGACCCAGGTCTCTGGTGCGGCACTACAGCCACGGGGGAGTCAGGGACTCTGTCACTGTTCCACCTGCAGGGAGCAAAGTTGCTAAGCTCTTTGGATTGAAGGAAGCTGTCACTAATGTTGGGAGGTTGGCTCTTGCCAGGTAACTGCACTTTGGGCATCCCGGTGGGAAATGCAGTTGCTGTTGCCAGCCATGAAGTCTCCACCGCCCAAGGGGAGGAGTGCCCCTACCCCCATGGAGGTTGCACCAGTGGGCAGCCCATCTCTGCAGACATGCAAGGATCTGACCACGTCTTCCCTGCACGCGCTGCAGAACAGGGGCTGGTGTCTGTTTTAAGGAGAGCTTGCCAGGGAGTCTAAGCCCTCACACAGCAGGCAACGTTACCCCCTCCCCACGCTTGCTCATTAGGCCCTTGAGTGTGTGTAAGCACAGCACACCTTGTATGCCTAGCCATCCCTGGGCCTGCCATGTGTCCTTCCTCTTACTCCTTCACCTTTGTGACAGGCGGGAGAGAAGCACCGGGGGCTGAGAGCCCGTGCTCTCCTGGGAGCACATCCCAGGAGCTGTCATCTCTGGTGCCCCCGCAGTCCCCACTTCCTCCAGCCTAGGGGGACTGGCAGAGAACCAGCTAGCTCTCACTGCCCCGAGAAGGGTCAGCTTCTCTCTCCTTTCAGTGAGGGGCCTTCCTTCATTTCCTCTTCTGCTTGCTTCCCAGGGGATGGTGCAGGTCCTAGGACACCTCCCCTCCTGCCCACCGCTACATTTCCCTTTGCACTCAGTCTGGAAGACAGCTGATAACGATGCAGCATCTTCCCTTAGCCCTCCTGTCTCTGTTGCTTCTCAGAACCACAAACCTACCATTATGTGGTGGCCATGGTGAAGAGGGACACCAGCTTCCAGCTGAACCAGCTGCAAGGCAAGAAGTCCTGCCACCCTGGCTTGTGGAACATCCCTGTGGAAGTACTGACTTCCCATGGCTCCTCTGCAGCAGGTAAGCCATCTGGGGCTTGTGGTATGCTGGGGCCACCCCACCACTATCAAGGAGATGTGTTTCATGGCCTCCAGGATGCAGTGAGGGTATGTGCACCAGCAGCCTGTGGGAGCTGGCTCTGCAAAGATGCATCTGTCTCTATATGTTCCTGTCAGTCCCACATTCCTAGGGATCCAGCCACACTGCCAGCATCCAGGCACCTGTGCCTCAGGCCAGGGCTTCCAACACAGGCGTGGAAGGAATGGCTGGACCCCATGCTCGGATTTGAGGTATACTCTGGATCTCTTGTTCAGTTACGATGAGCCAAGGTGAACCCTTGAGATGATGGCTAAATCTGCTATGCAGAAGGGCATCTTCCTGAGCCCTGCCGGCCTCTGCAGAACTCCTGTCTTGGCTGTGACAGGGACAGGCGGCTGCAGAGATCTGATGACATGCTGCAGCCTGGACCACAGTGCTGGCCATGCCCTGCCCCTTCCTTGGGGCCATCACTACCTCAGTGTCAAATACTCAGGGACATCTATCTGGGCAGACGTGCAGCAGCTGTTGACACACCCCCCACCTCATTGTGAGGCTTGCCAACCCTCTCGGAAGGCAGCCCTAGTGCTGCCACAGTCCCTGGTTCCTGGAGGGGAGGTGGGGTGAACCTACATCCTGAGATGAGAGAGGGCTGTTGGGGGCCAGGAACAGTCCTGCCTGGCCCTAGAGCCTGGGCTGCCATCTGGGTTCAGGTTAGGGCAGCTGTTCTCATGCCCTGTGGCCAACAAGCTGGAGAAGCATTCTCCTGGGCTTGAGTCCAGGGCCCTCCTGTGACTGTGAGGCCTAAATGCACAGGGAGCCATCCACACACCCCAACATGGATGTTGTCGGCCACCCCTGCAGCGCTACACCCCCGTGGCCTAGGTACACGGCTTCCTGCAGGACCAGCCTGGGAAGTGGGTGCAGACTCCTGGCCCTGGGCTAGGGCCTTGCTCTCCCACATGCAGCCAGAGGCCCCAGCCGCTCACGCCCATGTCCACATCTTGTGTTGAGCAGCAGCAGCCAAGGTCTTCTCCAGCAGCTGCGTTCCCTGTGCGGATGCAAAGACGCTGCCCCAGCTGTGTGAGCTGTGTGCCGGGAGAGGGAAGGACAAGTGCGCATGCTCCTCCCACGAACCATACTTTGGCTATTCGGGTGCCTTCAAGTGAGTGAGACCCCTCTGTCCCCCTCAACCTGAAGCCTGAAGACAAAGGCACAGGGAATACACAAGGCCTGTCCCTGGGCCCCCAGAGTGCCAGTGAGAAGTTCAAGGCCTGTGTGCCTCCCTCCCAAGGGACGCTCATCCATGTGGAGCTCCTTCCTGGGCCAGGGAGGGCTGAGAGGACAGACTCATCTCTGGGACTCCAGGATCTACAGACACTGGCCTGGGCAGCCAGCAGGGCCAAAGGCTAGGGACCTGCTCTTGCCTCTCCCCACCCCCCTCTCTCTCAACCCTGGTGATTGCGTGTTCTCTAGGAGACATGGCTGCTACACAAAGCCAAGTAACCTGGTGTGTCTCCAAAATCTCTGTCCTCCCTGTCAAAGGCTTTAAGCCTTTTTGTAAAACCAAAGAAATTGAACAAACTTGGTTGCTTTCCTAGGGCACCATCCCTCCCCAGGTTGCCTAGGATGTCAGTGTCCAGTGCTCCTGTCTGCTTCAGGCCTGGGTGTGGCTGTGGCATTTAGAGGCCCCTCAGGCAAGGTCACACCTCTCAGATGCTCTTGGACAGAGTACTGCCTGGGCAGAGCCCTGGGAGCCAGTGGTCCAGGCAGACCCTCAGAAGAACTTCCTGAGAGAGAGGCGAGGCCCATGCCCCTGATGAGGGACCTGACTGCCCTCCTGTGTCGCCCAGGTGTCTGGAGGACGGCGCTGGGGACGTGTCCTTCGTCAGGCACATGACGGTGTTCGGTGAGTGCTGGAGGAAGAACCACGCGGGCCCCGGCCGAGCCAGAAGCTGGTTCTTGCTCCAAAGTTCCCTTGCATCTTGGGGCAGGTGGTGTCAAGACCTTTAGTGCCACAAGAGAGTGTTTGCATAAATATATCTGTATTTCTGCACATGCTCCTGAACTTATAATGGGGTTACAGCTCAAGAAATTCATCATAAATTGAAAATGTCACAAGTCAAAAATGCATGTGCTCCTCTCCAGCTCCCAAATATCCCAGCTCAGCCACACAGCTCACAGCAGAGTCTAAGAAGGTTTCCTTGAGACCGTGGGGCTGGGTGGGAGCAGGACTCTCTGTCACCACCCAGCCCTGGGAGAGGGGATGGGACCCCACACTGGTAGCCTGGGAGAAAAGACCCAATTCAAAATGCAAATACATATCCCTTCAGCACCATCTAAAAGTCAAAAACCATAAGTTGAGCCATCTGTACTTTGCTCAGTGGTCAATTTTTTACATCTGTAAATCCACCAGATTATCTGAGCATTTAAACAGCACGTATCAACTCGTAAGACAAAGCAAGTTATAACAATCAATTCTCTCTTAATCATTGAAATGTTAGTTACAAATTGAATCACATTCTCGAATATTTCATGATAAATATCCCCTAGGTATTTTAAACATGTACATTATTGTAAATATTTCAGGACTTCTTTTTTTTTTTTTTTTTTTTTTTTTTGGACAGGCAGAGTGGACAGTGAGAGAGAGAGACAGAGAGAAAGGTCTTCCTTTGCCGTTGGTTCACCCTCCAGTGGCTGCCGCGGCCAGCGCGCTGCGGCCGGCGCACCGCACTGATCTGATGGCAGGAGCCAGGTACTTATCCTGGTCTCCCATGGGGTGCAGGGCCCAAGTACTTTTGCCATCCTCCACTGCACTCCCTGGCCACAGCAGAGAGCTGGCCTGGAAGAGGGGCAACCGGGACAGAATCCGGTGCCTCGACCGGGACTAGAACCCGGTGTGCTGGCGCCGCAAGGCGGAGGATTAGCCTAGTGAGCCGCAGCGCCGGCTCAGGACTTCTTAACCCATCTACAGTTAAATCTGTTGCAAATGCTTTATTGCCATGAGTAAAAATGTGTTTCTTCTTTATTTTTAATATATGAAAAAACACCCCAAACTTTCCATAGTTTTGGACAACTTACCACAAGCAAACAAAATAATATTTTATACAAGGCTTTTTTTAAGATTTATTTATTTTTTATTTGAAAAACAGAGAGAGAGAGAGAGAGAGAGATATCTTCCATCTGCTGGTTCACTCCCCAAATGCCTACAACAGCCACATCTGGGCCAGGTGAAACCCAGGAGCCTGGAACTCCAACAGGGTCTCCCAATGTGAATGGCAGGGACCCACATACTTGGGCCACCTTCTGACCCTTTGCAGGCACATTAGCAGGGAGCTGGATCAGAAACAGAGCAACTGCTTCTCAAACAGGGACTGCTCACCGCACCACAGAACCGCCCTTCAGTTAAGTTAATGTTAACAGATTTGGGGTTTTGTAGCCAATTAAATTACTCTCTGAGACACAGCAATCATGTTCTGACCTAGATGTTTAAAACTCAAATGTATATTCACTGTGCTAAGCTCAGTTCTCTCAGAGAGAATTTTTTTTTTTAAGATTCTACTTATGGGCCGGCGCTGTAGCATAGTGGGTAAAGCTGCCACCTGCAGTGCCAGCATCCCACATGGGTGTTGGTTCAAGTTCTGGCTGCTCCACTTAAAATATTTATTTATTTATTTGAGAGGCAGAGGCTGAAACAGAAAGGTCTTCCCCCTGCTCGTTCACTTCCGGGTTTCCCACATGGGTGCAATGGTCCAGGCACTTGGGCCATCTTCCACTGCTTTCTCAAGCCATAGCAGAGAGCTGGATCAGAAGAGGAGCAGTCGGGACTCAAACTGGCACCAGAGGTGGAGACTTAGCCCACTACGTTACAGTGCCGGCGCCTCGGGGAGAATTTCAAGCTCTCCCTTTTCACCCAGGTTTTCGTTCCTTGCGACCTCGTGTCTTTCCCTCACATGCAATGGGATGCCAGTCCCTCAGGCCCCTTCAGCCATCCATAATTCCCCATCTCATTTTTGCTCCTTGCCCTGGTCTGTTAGCATTTGGGCGCTTGGTGGGTGTCTTGTGATCAACAGTGTTACCAATGGGCCTCGACCCCCGAAACCAGCCGTTCCCAAATCATTGTCCTTATGTCCTCCAGATGCTCACGTCCCCATGAGCAGCATCCCCCAGCACTGGCCCTGAAGTATTGGAAAACTTCCTTCCTTTATGGGCACAGAGACGCAGCCCAGACCATCCTGGTTCACCTGCGCTGGGAGTCACTTCCCGGCTGTTGTGCAAGATGCTTTATGGGCCGGAGCCGCGGCTCACTAGGCTAATCCTCCGCCTGCGGCGCCAGCACACCAGGTTCTAGTTCCGGTCAGGGCGCCGGATTCTGTCCCAGTTGCCCCTCTTCCAGGCCAGCTCTCTGCTGTGGCCCAGGAGTGCAGTGGAGGATGGCCCAAGTGCTTGGGCCCTGCACCCCATGGGAGACCAGGAGAAGCACCTGGCTCCTGGCTTCGGATCAACACAATGCGCTGGCCAGAGTGCGCCAGCGGCCATTGGAGAGTGAACCAACAGCAAAAGGAAGTCCTTTCTCTCTGTCTCTCTCTCTCACTGTCCACTCTGCCTGTCCAAAAAAAAAAAAAATGCTTTACGGTCATTTTAGGGGAATTCACTAGGCTTTTGGGTGGAATTGAGTGTTGATGGTGAGCTAAGGGCCATGGCTTCCACCTCTGGGCCCTGGACTGATCAAGGTAGGGGGTTGTTTCATTCTTAGGTCATACCGATTCTTCTCATTTAAGTCTAGCACAACCAAATCACGAGAAATGCTTTGAGCTAAAGATTCACAGAGTGTTCTCCCTGACATACTGAGTTACCATGGGACCCTTTCTCAAGGACGTTCATTGATCTCATTCTTCTCTCTCCACAAGAGAGTTTGTCAGCCCCAGACAACGCCTCTTTGTTCTGGCCAGGCTCACCCCAGCCAAACCCCACAAACTGTGTGGCTGTACCAACACCAAGCATCATCTCACAGCTCTGGAGGCAGAACTCCAAGACCCAGGTGTGGGGAGAGCTGAGAGGGGACTCAGCTCCCCACGGCCCACGGCTCTCTTTGGTGCTCCTCCCCCCTCTCCACCTCTGTGGGGGAACGGCACTGTCCCCATGTGCATGGTGGTCTGTGTCCACAGTGCCCTTCTAATGCAGACACCTGTCACACCAGAGTACACCCCCTGCCCACCCACCAACTCCAGGACGGCCTCATCCTAAATCAACTAATTACAGCTGCAAGGACCCTCTTTACAGATAAGTCACACTCTGCAGCCCTGGAGGTTAGGACTTTAACGTGCACATTTGTTGACCCCGCAACACCTTCTACCTAGACCATGGGACCCTACAAGCCGGTTTCCTCGGAGGGCCTTTCTGGCCTCGCTCCCTCCCCCTGCCTCCAGCAGGCTCAAACCCCCCGGGGGGAATGTGGCCGCTCGGGTCGGGGGCCTGGGTTGTCAGCCCCACCCTCCCTGAGTCTGACAAGTGACTTCACCCTCAGAGCCTCAGTTTGCTCCACTCTGAAATGGGCTAATCCTGTTATCGGCCTCCCCATGCTGCTGCTGTGAGGAGGGAATGAAGGGGAACACAGAGAGTCTCCTGCAGTCTGGGCTGGGCCCGAGTGCGCGGGAAACGAGCCGCTGTCCCATGGCCATTAACAGAGCCGCAGAGGCATCGGGGCTTGGAGGGTCCCTGAGCCCACCTGCGACAAGGTGGTTCACCAGTCGATCCACGCCAGAAGCCTCCAGGACCCTTGTCTGTACAGAAGGTTCTCTCTCGGGCCCCAGCAGGTCAGAGGGGCTCAGGGAGGAGCAGGGCTCTTGGCTCTGCCTGCACTCGGCTCATCTAGGCTTCCCCTCCCCAGAGAACCTGCCCAACAAGGCCGACAGGGACCGGTATGAGCTGCTGTGCCCGGACAACACCCGCAAGCCGGTGGATGAGTATGAGCAGTGCCACCTGGCTCGGGTCCCTTCCCATGCAGTCGTGGCCCGAAGTGTGGACGGCAAAGAGGACCTGATCTGGGAGCTTCTCGACCGGGCCCAGGTATCCCATGCACCATCCCCTCTTCTGCCTAGGGGTCCCCGCTGGGAGTGAGGGTTTCCCTCCTTGTCTTCTTGCCACTCTGGAAGTGCACAGACATTCAGGATGGAGAGGGACCCATGCCACGCTTGATCCGCGTCACCAACAGGCCGCTCCCTCTGCTCTCTGCTTATAGCACACAGAGCAGAGGCTGTGAAACCATCATCTGTGCTACTTCCTGTTGCCCTCTGCATGCCCTTCCATTCCTGATGGATGCCCCAGATGCAGCACCGGCGCCCCCTGTCTGCTGGATCCCGCCCTCCTGGCTTCCTGATGGCAGGTCCCCTGCCCATTGTGCTGTCCCTGGCCTGTTTGGTGGTTGGAGAGACTGGAGAAGACCCTGGGCCACAGGGACCCCCAAGGGCCTTGGCCACTGCTGTCACTCAGAGGTGCTCATAGCGCTGCTCCCTTACCTGTGAGGGAGAGGTCCCGAGACCCCCAGTGCATGCCTGACACCACAAGTATTTCCAAAGCTCACATAGCCTAAGCTTTTTCATATTTGTAGTATTTACCATAAAGATTTATGTACAAATTGGGCACAGCAAAGAGTAATGACAACAATAGAACTGAACTCTTATAACAATATACTGTAACAATTTATAATGACTTACTTCCAGAATTTTCTGTTTACTATTTTTGGACTGCAGTAGTAGACAGCATGGAGACCAAGGCCAGGGAAAAGGGAGGATGGCTGAGGGTCCCCTCTCTCTGCTCTCCTGGTCTGGTTTGAGGTTGGTTTCCCCCACGCCAGTCTCCTGGCTACACTGCTTCTTTCCCCCTTTGGACAGGCACACTTCGGAAAAGACAGCACGTCAGGTTTTCAGCTCTTTCGTTCACCCTATGGGAGAGACCTGCTGTTCACAGACGCTGCCCAGGGATTTATGAGGGTCTCACCTAAGATAAACACCAAGCATGTTTCTTCTATTCAGAGATTGAAGAGAGGTATGTAGTTCTTGGGCAGCAGGGTGGGGTGGGGCCACCCCAGAGGCATTCCTGGTGAATGCGAGCCTAAAGCAAGCTATGATTTAAAGTTACTTATTTATTTATTGGATAGGCTGGGGTCGGGGGGAGGGGAGTGCTCTTCTGTCCACTGGTTCACTCTCCAAATGTTCTCAACAGCAGGGCTGAGCTAGGATGAAGCCAGGAGCCTGGAGCTCAATCTGGGTGTCCCATGTCCCACGAGGAGTGACAGGGACTGAAGTACTTAGGTCATCACCTTTTGCCTCACATGATGCATATTAGCAAGAAGCAGGAATCAGAGCACAGCAGGAACTGGAATTCAGGCACTCCAGTGAGGGATGTGGGCATCCCAAATGGCATCTTAAGGGCTACACAAGGTGTCTGCACCTACAAAAGGGCTTTGAAGACCTTTGTATTATATAGACTTGAAGTAATGATGTCTCTGGTTACTTTGTATCAGCTGGACCCTGTGTCAGGAATGAGTTTTTCCTAGACTGTAATGGGAGCAGGGCCACTGCGACCAGCAGGGGTAGAGCTGGAATTCCAGAGGCTTACAAGTCCTGCCCGCGCCTCCCACTGGATCCTGTGGGCCCATTTCTTTCTTCTTCTGCTGTCTTCCCCTGCACTAAGTCAACCAATAGGTCCTGAGCCCCAAGCACCTGAGTGTGTGTCCCACGCAGCCACTACATTAAACCAAGGCACACAGTGGGGGTAGAGGCATGGGGAGGGGAGAGTAAGCAGGACTGCCTGGCTGCCAACTGGAGCCTGCTCCCTGGAAGAGGAGCCCAGTCCTGCAACAGAAAACCCCAGTAGGTCTGAGATGGGCGGGGGCTCAGAGAGACCTCCCAGGGGAGGTGATGCCTGAGGAGCTGAGGTCAGGAGGCAGGAAGGAGCGGTGTGCAGGAATGAAACACACCCACTCTGCTGTTGTCAGTGGGAGCCACTCTGCAGCCAGGGGCGGTAAACTCCCAGATCCATCTGTGGCTTCCTTTCCATCCCTGGGTCTTCTCTACCCATCCTAGGTATGGGAGACTCGCACAGGGTGCAGTGGTGTGCAGTGGGCCCCCACGAGAGGGCCAAGTGTGATCAGTGGAGTGCAGTGAGCGGGGGCGCCTTGGCTTGCACCACAGAAGACAGCCCTGAGGACTGCATCGCTGCCATCATGGTAGGAGAGCCCCCTCCACAGCTGGGTGTGGACACACACACACACACACACACACAGCGCCTCTGCCGAGTCTGCCTTTGAAGACTCCATATTACAAGGCACCTGCACCATGGGCCCCGCCAGCTCGGGGATGGGCAGAAATGCAGAGCCAATCCAAGCCTCAGACTCCTTGAGACTCAGCTCTGGAGTCCAGGGAGCTCAAAGGGGCATCTTTCGCAGGAGCCATAGGAAGCGGGGAGATATCTTCCTCTGCCCCTCTTGGGCCCATTGTGGATGCCAATGCAAATCAGACTTCTCAGTGCTTAATTGTGTTTCTATTCATAAAGATACTACATGCTGGAAAAGAAATGAAAAATAAAATCATTCAAAACTTCACTCAGAGATCATTATCCCATACATTTTTTGAGTTTTCCCATCCATGGGTTCTCTCCCCCAAATGCCCACAACAGCTAGGATTGGGTCAGAGCTAAAGCCAAGAGCTGGCAACCTGATGCAGGTCTCCCACATGTATGACAGAAGCCATCACTGCTTCCTCCCAGGGTCTGCATTTTAGTAGGAAGCTAGAATCAGGAACTGGAGCTAAGAACTGAACCTAGGCTGTGGGATGTGGGTGTCTCAACGAGCGTCCTAACTGCTTGGCTAATTTCTTTCTTTCTTTTTTTTTTAATCTTTTATTAAATGAATATAAATTTCCAAAGTACGACTCATGGGTTACAATGGCTTTCCCCCCCATACCGTCCCTCCCACCCACAACCCTCCCCCTTCCCACTCCCTCTCCTCTTCAATTCACATCAAGATTCATTTTCGATTATCTTAATATACAGAAGATCAGCTTAGTATACCTTAAGTAAGGATTTCAACAGTTTGTTCCCACACAGAAACATAAAGTGAAAAATAATAGATGATTTTTTTTAAATGATGATGAAATCAGATCAGACCTATTGTCATGTTTAATCCCAGTGAGAGTCAAGTTGGGAATTGATAATTTCTTTTTTTTTTTCTTTTTTTTTTTTTTTTACAGAAGATCAGTTTAGTGTACATTAAGTAAAGATTTCAATCGTTTGCACCCCCATAGAAACACAAAGTGAAATATACTGTTTGAGTACTCGTTATAGCATTAAGCCTCAGTGTACAGCACATTAAGGACAGAGAACCTTCATGAGGAGTAAGTGCACAGTGACTCCTGTTGTTGACTTTACAAATTGACACTCCTGTTTATGGCATCAGTAATCTCCCTATGCACCAGTCATGAGTTTCCAAGGCTATGGAAGCCCCTTGAGTTCTCCGACTCTTATCTTGTTTAGACAAGGTCATAGTCAAAGTGGAGGTTCTCTCCTCCCTTCAGAGAAAGGCACCTCCCTCTTTGAAGACCTGTTCTTTCCACTGGGATCTCACTCGCAGAGATCTTTTTGCCAGAGTGTCTTGGCTTTCCATGCCTGAAATACTCTCATGGGCTTTTCAGCCAGATCCGAGTGCCTTTAGGGCTGATTCTGAGGCCAGAGTGCTATTTAGGACATCCGCCATTCTATGAGTCTGCTGAGTATCTCACTTCCCATGTTGGATCACTCTCCCCTTTATTTATTCTATCGGTTAGTGTTAGCAGATACTAGACTTGTTTATGTGCTCCCTTTGACTCTTAGTCCTTTCATTATGATCAATTGTGAACTGAAATTGATCACTTGGAATAGTGAGATGGCATTGGCACATGCCACCTTGATGGGATTGAATTGGAATCCCGTGGTATGTTTCTAACTCTACCAATTGGGGCAAGTCAGCCCGAGCATGCCCCAAATTATACATCTCTTCCCTCTCTTATTCCCACTTTTATGTTTAACAGGGATCACATTTCAGTTAATTTTCAACACTTAAGAATAACTGTGTGATAATTACAGAATTAAACCAGTCATATTAAGTAGAACAGACAAAAAAAATACTATGAGGGATAATGTATTAAGTTGTCCATTAGCAGTCAGGGCTATGCTGATCAAGTCACCATTTCTCATAGTGTCCATTTCACTTCAGGAGGTTTCCTTTTTGGTGTTCAGTCAGTTGTCACCGATCAGGGAGAACATATGGTATTTGTCCCTTTGGGACTGGCTTACTTCACTCAGCATGATGTGTTCCAGATTCCTCCATTTTGTTGCAAATGACTGGATTTCGTTGTTTCTTACTGCGGTATAGTATTCTAAAGAATACATATCCCATAATTTCTTTATCCAGTCTACTGTTGATGGGCATTTAGGTTGGTTCCAGGTCTTGGCTATTGTGAATTGTGCTGCAATAAACATTAGGGTGCAGACCGCTTTTTTCTTTATCAATTTAAATTCCTTTGGGTAAATTCCAAGGAGTGGGAGGGCTGGGTCGAACGGTAGGATTATATTCAGGTTTCTGAGGAATCTCCAGACTGATTTCCATAGTGGCTTGACCAGTTTGCATTCCCACCAACAGTGGGTTAGTGTCCCTTTTTCCCCACATCCTCGCCAGCATCTGTTGTTGGTAGATTTCTGTATGTGAGCCATTCTAACCGGGGTGAGGTGAAACCTCATTGTGCTTTTGATTTGCATTTCCCTGATTGCTAGTGACCTTGAACATTTTTTCATGTGCCTGTTGGCCATTTGGATTTCCTCTTTTGAAAAATGTCTATTGAAGTCCTTGGCCCATGTCTTAAGTGGGTTGTTGGTTTTGTTTTTGTGGAGTTTCTTGATCTCTTTGTAGATTCTGGTTATTAACCCTTTATCTGTTGCATAGTTTGCAAATATTTTTTCCCATTCTGTTGGTTGTCTCTTCACTCTCCTGACTGTTTCTTTTGCAGTACAGAAACTTCTCAATTTGATGCAATCCCAATAGTGA